GAGATGAGATAGAAAATTCTTGCCACTCAAACCTTAAAAGTCTTTGGACAATGAAAATTAACTTGGGAAGTTCTTTTCAACCTCCAATGGCTAGCCATCTACCGATTATCTTTGCTAATGGCAGTCATCCTACCAATAGAAACCCCCATGATGAAATTGTCGTAATGATACAATTATGATTATGATATTGATTACAAGTTACCAAATTAATATCATTTTAATAGACACTAGAAATTCAATGAATGATCTCTTAAAAAATGTTTATGGAAAGATAAAATTGGAACTACACCTAATGTTCACTTTGGCCTCATTATTTAGTTTTTTAGGAGAAAGGATAAAGACTGTTGAAATTATAACTTTGCTTATCACAGGGGTGAAGAAAATAAATAATTCATAGTCATGGGCAACATTATTGTAGTTGATTCACTAGCTATGTATAACACTATTTTTGGCTACTCCCTACTAAATACCATCTTATATTTGTTGAATCATCCTATCACATTGCTGTCAAATTTTTTAAGAGGTGAAGGACTGATTGCTATCAGTGGGGACCTATTAGAATCTCAAATTTGCTACTTATGAGCAATAGAAAATTTGTTGAAGAACATTTAATAACTTAACATATAGTGAGAAAGCATAATGGTGACTAATGGGGTCGTCAAAGAAATCACTACTATTGAAGGAGGACCCAGAAGAACGTTTTGACTCAGCATTGCTTTTGACAAGATTGAGAAGAGATTTGATTACAACTTTCTACATAATAAAGGCATATTTTCTTGATCAACTAATGAAATACAAGGAATAAGTGTTGAAATAACATATCAAAAACTCTATTTTGATCTAGAGCAAGATCAGGGAAGTAAATGATTAGAGTACTCACCATTACTCTTATGAAGCCAATTCTCCAAGAGAAAGGTAACCTACATAACATTAGTTTTATTGAAGAAATACGATATCAAGAATAAATTTCCAATGCAATGACGATACATAAGATAAAAGAAAAATGAAAAATGTACATTGTCTTCATCAATTTAATCTTATCCTACTTAAAAGACAGTTATCCACTACTTATAATAGTTACATTAGTCAATTCTATAGTGGGTTTCTTAGTCATGAGTTTCTTAGATACATTCTCTAGTTATCGTAAGCTCAAGATGCAAATTATGTGTTTTGAGAAGACTGCATTCCTCATTAGGAATAAAGTTGTGTTCTAATGCAATACCCTTTGAGCATACAAATAGTGGTTTAACTTATCAAATAATGATGGATATAATAATTTTCAAACAAAAAAGAAGGAATGTTGGGAATCATATGGATGATGTCTTAATCAAAAGTAAGGCATTAGAATAACATATTTTTGATCTAAGAGAAACCATTGAGATAATTAGAAAGTTCAACAAAAAGCTCAACCAACTCAAATGTGCTTTTACAACTACATCAAGTTACTCCGATACCTACCCACCCTCAAAGCATAAAAATGAACAAAAAAAAGGCAAAGTAATACTGGAAATGTCATTAAAAAAAATGCTAAGGAATTGCAATTTCTAACTGGCCAAACTGCTAGCCTAAGTTGCTTCATCTCAAAATCAGGAAATAACTATTCAACATTTTTCAAGGTCTTAAGAAGTGCAAATCATTTTGACTGGTTTAATGAATGCAAACATGTTTTCCCTCAACTTAAGAACTTAACATCTCCTCCTCTTATTCAAAGAATAAAATCTTGTGAAGACCTAATATTGCACCTCAGAGTAAAAAATGAGGTCGTCAACTCATTACTTCTTTGAGAAGAAAATTAAAAAGAGCTTGTCATAAACTACATTAGTTGGATCTTAAGATAAGCTAAGCTCAGATAACAAATCACAGAGTAACTTGACTTGGCGCTGATCATTTTTATTTGAAATATTTAACCCTTCTTTCAACTGCATTCAATGTGTAGGTGACATGTTTTTTTTATGCTTAATCTCCTTTAATCTCCTTTAAATTTATCTGAATGAAATTGCACTTTAAAGAACAGTTATTTTTATGTTTATCTTGCAGATATAACACTTGGAGCGATTGGAGCTGAAACGGGACAAAACATAAAGCAAACGGGGATACTACCAGCAAGGTGGCGCCTAGATGCCAATCTCTACCCAAAAAACAGAGTAGACAACGCCTAGGGTGGCAGACTGGCGCATAAGCGCCCGAACTGTCCATGGGCGGTTTCTACACACCCCAAGGAGTTATTTGACGGATCTAGATGTTTGCAAAAATAATTTTTGGCATTTCTAAGTCCTGAAATTCTCCAGGAAAGCCGAGAAGTCGTAGATAAGATTATGAAATGTAGATTTTTACCTTTTCTGGAGAGATTGGTGAGGGAATTTTAGAGATATTTGTAAGGGATTGTATTAGCATTGCATGGATCAAACAGAGACTTTGTTTGAGGGATTTTCATCTTTCTTTCAAAGAAAAAAACATAAGTATTGTGTTCTTCATTATCTTGTACTTGTTGTAAACCCTTATCTAGTGGATTTGCATTGACTTAATGAAGTTTTTTGTTGTGTGTGAAACCTGCTTTGTGAAGTAGAATACATTTCTTTTGCAATGAATAGGATGGATGTTTAGGATGCTAGGATGTATGTTAGAATAGGTTTTTCATATCATAGTGATGGTTCTTCATGCTTCATTTACTAATCAATCTGGCCAATTGGTGTGTTAAAATTTGTTGTAAACCCATAAGCTCTGGAAGGGCGATAGCTTTAATAACTAGGAAGAACCACATTGAACTTATGGGTGAAGGAAAACTAGTCCTAAGTTTGAATGCAATGTTAGGGAGATATTCGTTGATGGGTGCAAATTAGTGATTCTAAGGTGACAGGCTAGATTACTAACCAAATTGATCTACGACTTTGTACCTTAAATCTACGATTATGCCAATTAGAGGGCTATTATGAGAAGGAGACACTAGGGTGACATGCTAGAAGTTTTGACCTGATAATCTAGTTATTTTAAGGAATCAGCCTTAGGCTAACTGAGCTACGTTATACACTCGGAAGAGAGTAACATAGATTTTTGCTCTTATTATCATTGGCCACATTAAATTCTAAGCATCTCATTCCTGCACATTATTCAGGTCAGCACAAGAGAAAGGTGGTTTTTACACCTCAAAATTCACCAAACCAATTTATCTAGTTATGTTTAACTTTAGATTTAAGTTTGTATTTAGGAGTAGTTGTAAGAAAAATACTCTTAATCGACATTCCAAACTAATACCTGGAAGTAGAAGACAAACTTATCCTATAGAGTTTCCTGTCTCGCTTCCATGTGGGATCAATAATCGAACTTCATTAGAGCTCCATATTACTTGAATGATATGTATACTTACGAAGAACCCATAATGTGTAATTTATAAATTAAATCATAAAGCCTATAATATATCCATTTTGCACACTAACCACCTAAAGAAATTGGGTCAAGTTTTTTGCTAAGAAACTAAACAACTGCGTAGCTGCGGATCAGGTCAAGTTTTTGGCACCGTTATCTGGAAGTTACAGTACGAACTTTAGGAGAATTTTAGTTGAACCTGAAAGACTTAGATTTGAAAATTGTAGTGTTATTATCTAGTGTGTTTATTTATTATGGGTCTATTTAAGAGAAAATCCAAAATACCAAAAATATTTTTGAGTACTTGAAGTAATGGATATATGTCCTATTAGTTAAGTATATATAGTTGAATGCGTAGTTCACATACTGCGGACCTTGAACTATACAACTCAAAAGTAGAGAAAACTTGTAAGAGGATTAGAAAACCCTCAGGAGAAAAGTGGTAAGTGAAATATGTATAACCTTAGGATTCGTCAGACTGAGGACGTTAAACCAAGCGCTTCATTGGATGCAACCCATAGGTTATTTGTGTTGGTGTGCTTGTGAGTTATAATTGTTTCAAGTGTAATGTGTTTGTTTTAGTGTGGATTGATCAGTTTGATTGATGTTGGTGGATGTTTGGATTGTTATTGAATTGATTTGATCTTTGTGTGTAATGAGTGAGGTGATTCCTTAAGATCTCGTTGTGACTAAACTTATATTTGTTTTCTGATAGTAGTTGGATTAACGAGTAAATTATGAATTTATTAGTTACATTGGGTAATTTCATGCTTAAAAAACAAATGTCAAGCTTCATCACAACCATCAATGCACATGAATTTCTTATTTACAAAACCTAGGTTGAGAAATGATTTCCACGAATAATCCCACATGCTACATTGAAATAAGGCTTAGATTTAATTAATTTATTTTTAACAGTAACCTTGTATGCCATTAAAACAAAATTAAGTTTGCAGTTACCATACAAAATGCAACTTTGCAAAAAAAAAAAAAAAAAAAAAAGGCATGATTACCAAGCAAGGTGCATTTATATAAATATCACACAATTCATATGTATTTATATATCTAAGAGCTAAATTTAATTATTATCACTTAGACAATATCACCATCACCAACTTAAAGAAAGATGATATATATATATCTCTCTCTATATCTCTATATATATATATATATTTATATATATATATAAATACATGAGTATGCATGTAATTCTTTCAATAAATAAATATAACCATGTTACTAATGAAAAAAGTAAACAGCCCCTAGATGCTTCAAATATAACGTTGAACAAAAAATTAGGTTGATTCAATCTTCTTCACAAAGCATATAAATATTGATTTCTTAATAATAATAATGACAATAATAACATAACAAGGAAACCAAATCTAAAATTCATGCATCCTAAAATCTTTCAGCATTCAAACTACCTTGTCATATAATACATTTATAAACATATGCTATTATCAGATTCAAAAATATGATAAAGAGTTAAATCTCCGATATAGACAATTCAAGTAAAATGAAGACAGCTTATTTTGATATGAAGTCAATACATAAAAGCAGCAAATCCAAAATAAGGATCTAACACAAATTCTAAACATAAAAAAAGTAAATACTCTCATTAAAATCAAACTGACCATTGGGACCTTCCTCAGCTGCTGTTGATTCAAGAGAAACCCGGTACTTCTCCCGGCAAAGGAGCCAGTTCATTTTTCGCAAATCTCTCCTCGTCGTAAAATCCAGCTCTAACCACCCGTCCACCAAAGTATCGGCCATCAAGATCAATCAGTGCTTTTGTTGTTTCCTCGGATCTCTCGAACTGAACAAAGATCCTCACAGCTTCGTCAGTTGGAAAGTTGGGCTCTGTTATCTCAAAGATTAGCACACGAGTCACTGTGCCATACTTCGAACACTCGGAAGCAACCTCTTCTTCCAGCTCGTCATCTACTTCACCAGGTCCAACCTGAAGAAAATAGAACAAATGCAAGATAAGCAGCAATGTTTTCTTTATGCTTCCAATGCAGTGTTGTATTCCTTAGGAAAATTTTGTATATTAGAAGAAAAAGAAAACATGCAATAGCTTCAAAAGAGAAATCCTAGTAACCTGTGATTATTCTTGGAAGAAAGAATTTTGAGTTAAAAAGAATGGAACAAAGCTAATTGAAATTTTTTATAAAATATACGGTTTGCAGTCAGCCATCACATTATTGGGATTTCATTAATTTCCTTCACCAATGAATATCTCAAATTGAGAATAAGAAATCTATCACAACAAGCCTATATTTGAAAAGAAACAAAAACAAACATCTGAGATTGGAAAGTTTCATTTAAATTATGTTTTTGATACAAGCCAATGGAAGGCTGCCCAGCAAATTACTAGCATCCATTACTTGATCAAATTCTAGAAAAAATATATTTTGACAAAATAGAATTATTGTGAGGATATGGATTAGATTGATGGAACTGACAATATGGATTGGAAGTCCATGTATGTATGGCCTGCCATTTAACAGAAAAAATAAAGCCAAGACAAAATAAGAAAGTCCCAGTCACAGCCCATGCAAGTCCACATTCCCTCTACCACCGCCATCTCTATTTCTTAATCCTCTATCTCCCCATCACACACTATGAAAACTTATGATGTTCGATCCTTGCAATGATGTCTTGGGATAAACTTCTCAACACACCGAAAACATAACCCTTACCTCGTTTCTCCCAAGTTTGTCTCTATAAGACACTTGAGTGTCATCCCAATTATGATGCATGATTCTTGTCCTATGAAGCCTCCTTATAAACCTCAACTATTTGAACTTTTGGCATCATCATGGTTATAACAATTTAGCATGATACTCCACTTGTGCTGCTCCTATTAGCTTCTTCTATGACATTATGATCTTCAATCAATAGCACTAATTCCATAATTTCTCCCAAGCATCATGGTCTCAATGATTGTAGTGCTACACGTATGTCGGGCATTAGACGCATTATGAAATTTCCGTACAATACTACTTCGGAAATTCCCCTCAAGTTATACAGACAAGAGCTCGAATCTCTTCCTATACTCCATGAAAGTTTCTTCCAGAGTTAATGTAAAAAATTGCTCCTTTGTGTCTCCTTCCAAAATGACTCAGAAACATTCCAACAAGCAATCTTTATATTCTTCCATAGAGCGGATCGAGTATCTAACCTCCATTGCCTGAAATCATGTTGGGGCTTTCCCCTCCAAACATATCCCTACCACCATGAACTTCTCCCCATTTAACCCATTCACCGCAAAATATCGCTCCACCCGGTCCACAATCCCATGTGTGTTCCCTACCACCCTCTGGTCTGAAGATCGGCATCTTCAACTTCCTAACCCTAGCATCTCCACCCCAATTTCTTCTCCCTCTTCTTCCTTCAATCATAGTCATACCCCACCCCGTCTTCTCTTCTTCTTTGTGTTCCTCCATACCCCTTGCATAATCTCTTCTCCATTTTTGACCCACTCGCCTCTATCACACATCTCTAATCCATCCCCACAACAAAGCCTTGGGAGGAAATTCTTGATAGAAGATGCTTTCCTCCTCCCATTCCTTCCGTCTGATCTCTTTCTTTCCCTTTCGATTTAGCCAATAAATCCCTGGTCAATCCTTATGTCATCACCCAAGATATTGAAGGTTATACACCAAAATCATGAACCTTTTGTAAATTCTTTATGTGATGCAATTTTGCCTTATTTTTTCCAGATCGATGCTCTAATACTACTTGATAGGAAACTTCAGCCGATTTCCACCCAGAAATTAGGGCAAAATAATTTTTTTTTTTTCAATAATACAAACAACTCAACAAGAATACAAATATAAACACCCACAATTTGAGAGGCAGGAGATCTCTCCCAATTTCTACAATTCGAGAGATAGAAAACCTCTCCCAAACCCTAAATCAATCTCATGCATGCCCTAACCCTAATCATATTAATCATATTTTTACTGAATAATAATAAATTATAAAAGACTAAATTTCACTTAGGCTACTAAAGACAAAATTTCCCTAACTCTAGGCACCAACGTAACATATTTCTAAGCCCAAGTGTCAGGATGTGGTTAGCCATGAGCTGGACACTACCGAGGCTGGATTTTAGCTATAGCTTGCAAGGTAACCTTGCCAAAGACGTATGTTAGATATAAGCCAAGGAGACTGCAACCACTTTTGTTTCTCCATAGCCTCTACAAGTGGAGATAAAAGTTATTTTGTAACTAATATTGTCGATGGGACTACATGTTGACTTTTATTTATTCACTACTTTCAACACCAAATTCTCATACAATACCCATAAACTATGAAATAATGTCAAGTGTGTGAGATAACAACTATTTTGAGAGAGATTGTTGGACTTTCAAGTTATTGACAACCTTCTTCTAAATTTAAAATACTACTAAAATTGATATGTAGTATTTAGTGCAGAACTAGTTCGATAAATTATCCTTTATCTAGTGTGGATATTCACGGCAATTTTAGCATTTATATGCTCTGTCTGTCATTTATTACAAGATGTTTAATGAACTTTATTGCAAAGTTAGGATAAGTTTGTTTCGGTTGTGACTATACTATGAAATCTCAGGTCAAAAGTTGCTCTAGTATTCTGGAAGCAATTATTTTGTTTGAAAAATTCAATTTTGAAAGGGTTGTTTGTGAATTAAATGTCCGTAATACCCCTCTATTGTAGTAAATTAAACAAGCAGAGGGATAATGAGAAATAAAAAGATTATCAAGGATAAAGTGATTTAACCATCCTTTACATATGATCAACTATTTTCCAATGAAATCTAAAAAATAATAATTTCATCCAAATCTTATTGTAATTAGATAGATTCCTCATTATGCATCATCAACCATATTCCAAACTTCTTGCCAACATCCCATAAAAAAAATTGCTGAGGAATTTAAAGCTAGTATAAAAAAAACAGAGATGGAACCGCAGTTGGCACGACCATACGAGCTCCCTATTCATATATATTGATGCTACTCCAAATACATCCATAGCTGACACTAATAATTAATTAATAAATTCATTTCTAGATAAATACTTCCTTCACGACCTTCTCAAAATTCACATTGGAAGACCCTCCCTCTTCCAGAACTCGAACCGCACTCTCCTTCCACTTCATCAGCTTCTTCCTCATTTCCTCTCCCCTTCTTTACCCAGACACCATCTCCCTCGCAATCTCTTCCACCTCCTCTATCTTCACATCATTGTCCATCTTCATCCCCACCTCCCATTCCAAACAAGCATAACTGAAATTAGTCTGGTACTCTGTGAAGAATGGCCAACACAAGACTGGCACACCGGCGGTGAAGCTCTTTAGGATAGAATTCCAGCTAGCGTGAGTCAAGAAAAATCCCACCGTTGGGTGCAAGAGAACCAAATCTTGCATGCATCAACTCACTGTCTTCCCAATCCCCTTTGTTGAATCAATAAACTTTGGCGGAAGAAGTGTGATCTCTCCTTGACCAAATCTCCCTTAATCACCCACAAAAAGCTACAACCACTATTTGAAAGCACCCATGCAAACTTGGCAGGGTGCTCGGTCTTCGTCAAATTTATGTTGTTGAAATTCACGAATATGGTCGAGTGAGGATCATAAATGTTGAGCCATTCGAGGCAGTGGACTTCTTCCTTCGAGAGGTTGGCGTCGGCGGATTTGAAAAAAGATTTATCTGGGAAATAGTGAGTGAACAGGTTACAGGTGTGAGCGAATTCCTCAAACATGGAATTATTTATGCGGTCCCGGCTAGGAGAAATTTCAACCACAATTGTGTCACGGTTTGAAACTGTGATCGTCGAAATCGTGAAAACAAACATGTGTTCGACGGAATCCGGTTCATAAAGCCGGCCTAAAAGCCGAAAAGAACGCGCCCTTAGTTCAATAGTTGACATGTAAGATTGATCTAATAAATGCAATGGCAATAACCGCTATCATATAAGATGATTGATTAGTTAATCTTATCGTTTTATTGTTCACATTGCATGCATCATGCCTAGTATTTGTGTCTTAATAAACAAAATTTATTTGAGAGTTATCATTCCTAGTATGTATGCATCATGTGTTTCACTGTGAATCAAGTTAGCTTGATGGCTGGGTCATCATCTCTAGAGTAGCTTCATCAGCAATAAATTTTTCCTAAAGTTGAAGGATTAATCACTTGAACACTCGTTGCTTTGTTATAGACAATTTTGTAAACGTTTGTTTGGTTTTTTAGTTAAATTTATTTTCATTAGTGAGATGTTTTTGTTTTATATAATATCAAAATATTAGTATTCCGATTTTTTTAGTAAAGAATTACTTCATAGATCTCTTATCATTCGCTAAGTTATTTATGTAAATTTCTTTGTGATATAAAATTAGTTTTCCAGTCTTAACTTTAGGAACTTATCCAATGAGTTAAAGTTGAATCATTTTATCATGTCAAATGTTATCAATGTGTATTGCCTTCCAGTAAGTGACACCATCTGCATGCCACTAAATTTATACCTCATAAATTAATGGCAGGAATGGCACACATTCCAAAATTGAATCTCTAAAGAACAAAAATCACAACGATTGGTATATGTATCATCTTCAACACATCAGTGTTGCATAAATGAAGTATATAGCATCTTAAAAACAAATAGATTTTAAAAAGTTAGCTAAAATTGATCACCAAGTCACCCAATTACTAATACTATAAAAGAAATGAAACATTAGCTCATGTAGATGTATTTAAAAACCCAATATTGTAACTAGCTCATACAGCAACTCATAACCAACCAACGAACTCAAATCATCACATGGTACCTTACCAATTTCAAAGTGTAAATTGTTAAAAGCAATTTTTTTAAAAAAAGAACAAGGGATTTAGGTAATGTCAAAATCCATTAATAGTTGAATTTGATATCAAGCGAGAGGTGATCTTTTATGCTCTAGAGTAACTAGACAAGGG